CTCCAACACTGTTCTCAGAAACACTTACGGAGTTTGGACGTGGACAGTGGAGAATCTGCTTTCTCAGGAGAGAAAACTGCACGAAGGACAAGAGAATGACACAGGACAGTGTCTCAGCCTGCACACCGCTGACCTCCAGGACAAGCCCGGGCCTTCTGGCACGTTCAGCGGCATCCCTGGCTTCTACCTGCTTCATGCCAGCAGTCCGCCCTCAGCTGAGATGGTGAAAAAACGCCTCCAAGTATTGCAAAATATCCCTTGGGGGTGAAATCTCCTCCAGTTGAAATCACTGGGTCAGAAGAAATGGTCAAATAAACAGAAAAGTGTCACATCCATTAACCAGTGGTCACATAACAAAAGATTGCTCTCAAGAGAGGCATTCTCAGCTCTGCCTGGGCCCCTGCAAGCCCACAACAGGGAGGAGAAGGCCTGATCCTCCCAGCTGAGACAGCCTTCCCCTGCCGGAATCGCTGGAGAAGTCTCGGTGAAGCGAGCCAGTGACGCTCCGTACGGCCGAGCACACATCACAGCGAGCAGGGCGTCGCACCCAGCCTTTGAAGATGTGCCTTTTAAGTCAAACTCTCCTCCAACTAAACTTTTTCCAAATCTCTTCCTGCCATTTGGAAGCTGAGCGATTCTCAGCTGAAGAGGCCTGCGTGTGCGAGGTGCAGATGGCAGCAGTTAGGGCCCTCACCAGATGCTGTAGTCTCTAATTTGATTGAAAGGATATAATTAGACAACAGAAACACTTTAATGAAAGAGCAAAACATGGAGGAAGGGAAGGATTGAAGGCCCTTAACTGATGCCAAAACACCCACCAGTAATAGAGGCTTTGAGTCTGGGGAGAGGGCAGGGGAAAGCCCCTTAAAAAGACAGTCCCCATCCTGTTTGTTTCCCCATAGACGGAGGGATAGGGATTTTATTATTGTAGATTTCCACTCTATTTTATGTGGGAACAATATGATTAGAACCAGAAGAGTCTTCGGAAGAACATCAAAGGAAAACAAATATGGCTTCTGTGGTCATTATTAAAAATATTTTTACCAGCCCAATAATTTTCTTTGAAGATGAATTTTTATAGATTGAACAGCAGCAAGTAATTTCCATACTGTGCTGGGACTGGCCAGCAGTCCTGCTATCCAGAGGAGATCCACTTGGTCGCCATGTTTCCATCTGACGTCAGGGCACTCAGGAAGGTGCGTGGTGCAAAGACACCAGGCAGTCAGCAGAACCTGCTGACAGCGTCAACTGTCGGGCGTCATCTTTAAAAGCCGCCTATGCCGTCTGCACTACGTCCTGGCTTTCAAACTTTAAGTGTGAGCACGCTGTTCTGGTTCTCACCAAAAACCTAACCAAACTGAATGCAATGCCGTCCTCAGAGTGCGCAGTTGCTAATGTGGTGTGACACTTGGTTTGGAAGCGGCTGCAGCCTCCTCAGCCCACTAGAAGCAGGGCCCCGCCCTTGTGGTAAATTGAACAATAAAAGTTTAATGCTCTGGCTACTTGCCAGGGATTAAATCCGTGGCAAGGGAAACTAGAAGCTGGGCCCAGCAGAGGGGCAGCCCAGGGAGGGTCCTCTTGTATAACTGGGAGGGAGAGGAGCAACTCTGCCTGTGAGGTGGCCTGAAATCTTTCGTCTGCCAAGGTGCTTCCTAGCGCCCGGCTCTTCATTCCTCTTCAGTCTGGTACAAGTCCAGGCTAGGGAGGTGTTTACCTAGAAAGAAGACTTAAAATAAAGGAAGGGTGTGTGTGTGTGTGTGTGTGGTGGAGGATTCCCTGAGAGGAGGAAAAGGCACATTTCTGCAGAGCGGCAATCTGCAAGGCATCGGCACACCCCTCTGACATCTCTACAATGGTCTCTTTCCTTCTCCTGCTCAGTCGGAATCCAGTGTCTCAGAGGGTGAGGTCGGGGCAGAAGCACTGCCGCCCGGGAGGAAGGCAATGAAGGCAGGGGAGGGAGAAAAAACAGGGACCTGAAACCGCTCCCCCTCCCCCTCGAGGAACACTTCCAGGTTCCAGCTGTCTCTCAAGGTCACGCTGAACACGCAAGGAACTAAACCTGCCAAGAGGGTATCCTGGTGCTGGGGATCTCACCTCAAAACGTGGATGGTTGGTTTGCCAAGGGACACACCAACTTCCTTCTGTGTTGGCCTGATTCTGCAAAAACCCAGGCAAAAGCTACAGAGCCAAACTTCCGGCCTCTCTCAAGTGTTTTGCATTAACTGTCCCGCAGGACAAACACAATCAACTTGGTATGTTTGAATGTTTCATTTTGCTTTTTCAAAAAATGTTTTAATTAAAGCAACATAATCGGCCATGCTAAGCACATTGTTGGGTTGGTTTTTTTGCCTTTAAGACTTTAAATACAACAGTCCTGCTATGGAAATAAGAGTTAACTGCTTAGCAAAGTGGCAGAGGTCTGCTTTCTTCTTTTTTCCCCCTTCTCGCTGGTTTCCTATGTCTCAGGGCTGGTGCCACCTGCTGCCTGGCCTTTCCTCTGAGAAGCAGGTCGCTCCATGGTTAGCTACAACTGCAGGTCCAGCTGAACGAAGCAAGGCAGGCTGTGTCTTCTGGACCCCACGGAATCTCTCTTTAAAGCCATTTTTTAAAAAAGTCATATTAAAGACTCACATGTATATGCCTGAACTTTTCTTCATACATACCTCTTTCTGCTAGAATATAAAATTTACCATTTCAACCTTTTCTCCTGTTTGATGTCAGTTAACAATAAATGAGAAAAGATTCATCATTTACCAAAATCAGGCCTCCATATCACCTTTTCCAGACCACTGAACATTGAAAAAAAATCAATAGACATGGAACTAGTGCAAGACTTGGCGAAGTACAGCCTGTGGACCTGCAAGCTAAGACTGGGTTTTCAACTTTTTTAATTCTGAAAAAAATGACAATATTTTGTGACACAGAAAAAAAATGTGAAATTCAAATTTCAGTATCCATAGTGTTTTACTGGAACACAACCACACCTGTTCATTTACGTTTTGTCTATAGCTGTTTTTGTCCTGTGAAGTTGCGTAGCTGCAACAGACAGTATGTGGTTCACAAAGCCCCAGTTATTTACTGTCTCACCCTTCATGAAAAATGTGTGTCCACACCGGACCTAGAGCTGCGGGTGGCATTCCAGCCTTCCCAGTTCTAAAGATGGTGTATGGCCCACCACCAGAAGTTTCCAATCTGTATATTGTGAGGCTATTTTAAAGTAATATATTTTATCTTAATTGTTCATGGCTTTTAGTCCCACTATGGGGAACCACCAGTGTTTCAATAAGATCTACAGAGTGAACCAAATTGCTGTTTGTTGGCAGTGAACCTAAATGAAATGCTTTCTTGTTTTAAGACAAATCAAAGTGTTCACTGCATATCTCTAACATTTAAATAGTTTGTCCAGAGACTGAGACAACTTTTCACGAAAGGATCAGAGTGCCCTGACACCAGGTCAAAATGGAGTTTCTTAAAACACTCCGAGAGGAGCCCTTTGGTAACTGGCATGTGTGGGGATCTGCTTCCACTCCCTCACTGTCTCAGCCCCCAGGCTCCTACAGGGACTTCTATGGGCATTAAGCAAGTCCCAAGAGAGCCAGCCCTCTGTTGATGTCTTAATGTTCACCCGACTCACAGGTTTTATGGCAGGACATGCTCTGGGCTGATAGGACACATTCCAGACGAAGAGTTAGAAAAGAATGAGCATCGGTTTAGATTTATACAGCTTAAGCAGAGAAACTGTTGACACACGCCTGAGAGCTCCCAAATTCAGAAAAACACCCATGAAACTTCCCCGCTTCCACCTGTGCCCTATGCCGGGAGCCCACTCTGAAGCCCACGGGCCCCAGGACCCTGGCTGCCTTCCTCTAGCTCCCATTAACCTCTATCTTCCTTCTTATCAGTAGTGAAAGAAGGGAGAGAATCTCTAGGAAAGAATGGGGGAGAAGAAAGGAGGATCATTTGGGGTTAGCTACACTGTAATTAGAAGTAGCATTGATGGGGAATGAGCTAACTGTGTTTATAAAGTCAGCATTCAAAAACGCAAACCACCAGTAATTTAAATATTACAAAATTGTGCAGAATATAAGTATTGGAATAATTTTTTCCATCCACAAAATTTTAGAGAAAATTACAGTATCACGAAATGTAAAAATGGTAAGCTTGGCATATCCTCAAAGAAAACGTGGTTTTTTATCGGAAAGGATTTTAAAAACGAGCGGGCAGTTTCTCAACAGGAAGTGATGCGGATGACTGTATGGTATCTTCCCCAAACTGCTTCTGGGACTAGAAGCACCCATGTTTGAGGACTGTCACTTATCATAAATCATTTCACTATAGTTATTTATTTGCCCCTATCCCAGACTCCTGATAAAAACCACACCCAATGCTGCTGCATCGGACCCTTGCAAGCAAAGCACCTGGGAGAAGGACTGCACCTGCCACAAGCGTAAGCACACGACAGCTCACGCCTGCCCTTTGCAGGAGGGGACCCAGTCTGTTTCCACCCTCCCTGCCTCTCTGTAGAGGACATGCAATCCTGAACACGCAGATGGCAAACTGGAGCTAAGGGGTTACTAGGTGACGGCTCTGTTGACATATCCTGGCTCTGAGAATGTCCCTCCCTCCTCCCTCCCTCCTCACATATGGCAGACAGTAGCAGTGATCAAATTGTAGGAGTCCCTCCGAAGGCAGTGAACACTCCGAAACCACTTACTGCGCGCCTCAGGTTTACGGCACTTGGAGACCCCGTTCTACTGATCTAACGCCAAGCTTTGCCTTTTGTGGGGATTAACCGCACGGGAAGCTCAGAGCAGTCGGGGGCAAATGAGGTGTCTAGCACTTGATGAACTGTGAAGCACTATAAAAGGGATTATTAAAATATGTTTATTGACTGCCTTCCCTGCATGCCATGTGTTACCTATAGTGCATCATGTTCTCTTCCCAGCATCCCGCAAAGGAGTTATCATTCCCCCCGCCCCCTTCCCAAACGTGACTGAGGCTCAGGGAACTGGAGGCACAGCCAGTGTCACACAGTAAGGGACCAACAGCAAGTCCAAGCCTTTTCACTAATCCAAGTGGATGAGTAAACACAGCAGCTGAGTTCTCTGCCACCAGCAAGGTCCCGGCTGTGACTCTGGGTCCGGTTTTCCCACTCCGGTGACAGAGGTAATGAACCCTTCCCATGCCTTTCACAAAGGTCTATGACGCGCACAGAAACCCAGCCCCACCAGGGAACACCCTGCTGCTCGCTCGTCAACTTGGAAGGCATCTACCGTGAGGAAAGCAGAGTGGAGAAGCTAAGTCCCATCTCAGCCCCAGCCAGGGCCCCACCTAGGGAAGACCTGGGTTTGCCTGGGGAGCAGGCGACCTCTCTAAAGTATGGGGTTACCCAAGCCAGGGGGCCCCCCCGCCGTGCACTCTCAGCAGGAGCTCTGTAGCGGGGAGGTTTCCCTCCCATCCTCCCCACGGAGCCATAACCTGAGTCATGGGCAAGTTCAAAGCAGCCCCGGGGGGCAGGGAGGGGGCGTCCTGGCCGGGCACAGCAGGTCGCCCGAGGACCCTGACCTGACCCTAGCGGAGCGGGAGCGGACGAGTCGCTCCACAAGAAGCTAGGTGTGGGGCGAGCGGGCTCGGCGGGGACCCAGGCGGAGACAGGGGTTGGGCGGCCGCTCCAGCGGGGAGGCGCCTGGGTCCACCGGGGTAGGCAGGAGGAGGGGTCCCGGCCCGAGGCGGGTGTCGCTGGGGGTCTTGAGAGGAGGGGTGCGGTGTCCTGATGTGGGGCAGCCGTCCCAGCCAAAGGTCTGTCGCTGAGACTCGGGGACGGGATCCTCGCAGGTACCGGGCTGCAGGGGGCGTCCGGCCCGGGGGCAGCCTCCGAGAGACTTGGGGATCCCAGGAGGTACTGGGGTGCAGGGGGGCCGGCCCGGGGGCAGCCTCCGAGACTTGGGGATCCCAGGAGGTACTGGGGTGCAGGGGGGCCGGCCCGGGGGCAGCCTCCGAGAGACTTGGGGATCCCAGGAGGTACTGGGGTGCAGGGGGGCCGGCCCGGGGGCAGCCTCCGAGAGACTTGGGGATCCCAGGAGGTACTGGGGTGCAGGGGGGCCGGCCCGGGGGCAGCCTCCGAGACTTGGGGATCCCAGGAGGTACTGGGGTGCAGGGGGGCCGGCCCGGGGGCAGCCTCCGAGAGACTTGGGGATCCCAGGAGGTACTGGGGTGCAGGGGGGCCGGCCCGGGGGCAGCCTCCGAGACTTGGGGTTCCCAGGAGGTACTGGGGTGCAGGGGGGCCGGCCCGGGGGCAGCCTCCGAGACTTGGGGTTCCCAGGAGGTACTGGGGTGCAGGGGGCGGCCCGGGGACAGTCTCCGAGTGACTTGGGGGTCCCAGGAAGTACTGGGGTACAGGGGGGCGGCCCGGGGACAGAATGAAGCACTTGGGCGGTGGGGTCCCGGGTCCTGAAACAGAGGAGACGGCTCAGCCCGGGGTGGGGGGCGTCGCTGACGGACTAGAGAGAAGGGGTTCCCCAAGGCACTGAGGCAGCGTCCCGGCCTAGGGGCGTCGCTGAGAAGTACCAAGTCCTGAGGCGGAGGACACCACCGGGCCCCGGGGCGTCGCTGAGGGGCCTGGGAAAGGGGTCCCGAGGCGGGAGGGAACGGGCTCCCCCAGCGAGTCGGCTCGCGTCGCCGCTCGGGCGGGCTCCGCGCAGAACGAGCGCCGGGGGTCGCTCACTCACCGGGTCCGGGGCCGAGACCGGGGCTGGGCGCGGGCCGGGCCGCCAGCGTGAGCGCGGCGGCGGAGAGCAGGGCGAGGCGGGCGGCGGGCGGCGCCATGGGCCGTTCTGTGCGGGCCCCCGGGTGCGGGCCCGGCGGTATATGGATAAATGTGGAAAGCCAGTGTTGCTATGAATGTTGCCCAAGGAAGCTGCCTATTTAAACTGGATTTTCGTTCCAAATATTAAAATAGGGGAAAAAGGACTTGGGCTGTGTTGTAGTGAACTAGGCATCTGCCTCCAAAGCCGCCTTCCATAAGGGCCACAAGTTCCTGCCTTTTGCGCTCCTATTTGTGGATTCGGTTTCCGATAAGGCCCCTGGC